CACAAGAAAATTTATTTTGGGTACGAAACAAGTTCATAACTATACTAACGCACATAAGAATACTTTTCTCAATGAATTATTTTAAACAAAAACTTATTAGAAGGTAAAATTGCAATATTAAATGTTTAGGATAAAAACAACTGATACACTTTGCCATATATATAGATGCATGTAATAGAACAATAACATATAGAGGTGGAGAATCGAATGCACGAGCCATAATATATGTCTTGAGCAGAGCCATAATATATGTCTTAACCAGCTGAGCTGCTCAAGTTGAAATTATCCGTACGTATAGAACAACACCCATCMAATGGAATCGAACTCGACCCTTCGGTAAAACAAAAAAGATGTTGCATTACATTCATAATTTGTAGCTAGCAACTTTTTACATTGGAATGGTTGCCAAAGAACCAAAATCTAGAACTTCTTGACTAGCTGTATATGTTTATATTATTTGAAATCAAAAACCCTTTCTTAATTAAGAAACTGCCATTGATGAAATAGACAAATATTCCCTTAGCCATTCATTTTCACCATAAAAAAGTGTTCTTTATTGGCAAGCTCATATGGTATGCGAAGAAGATGGCATGGTTTAATAAGCCCAAAACAATGTTTAAGCTGTACATCCTCTTACCATAACCTCATTGAAGTTCACCCCTTTAAATACAAGGTTCCAAATCTCAAAAGTTCAAGCAAAGTAGAATTTCAAGTGCACAATTCTCAAAAAAATTAGAGTTCAAGCGCCTAGCTAGAAACCCTTTTGCATTCAATATTTTTAGCTTGTTCCCTTGCAGCTTAATCATGGCTTTCAAACTTCTTGGGTTCTTTGTAGTTAGCTTATTAGTTGTCATCAACCATTTTGTTAAGTTTTCTTATTGCTTTATGTTCAATGCAACAGTGTCTCCAGATGGTAGTGGAAATTTTGTTCGAGTTAGTGATGCTATAGCGGCAGCACCTAACTTTAGCACCACTAGATTTTATATTCATGTGAAACCTGGCATTTACAAAGAACATGTTGAAGTTCCAGTTCAAAAGACGTTTATTGCTTTGATTGGAGAAGATGCTTCTACGACAATCATTGTTGACAATAGAAGTAACGGGAGTGGATTTTCAACTCAAACTACTGCAACCCTTAGTAAGACTTAACTTTTCACTAATAAATTTGACATGTAGATGTTAATTTTGCCTTCTTCTTATTCAAACAAATTCTGAAATAAAAACTTCAAATGTTCTATTTGCAGTTGTGAAGGGTCAAAATTTCATGGCGCAATTCTTGACTTTTGAAAACTCTGCCGAACAAAAGGAAGGCCAAGCAATAGCCGTTATGGACCAAGCTAAACACACAGCGTACTACAAGTGTGTGTTTTTGAGTTATCAGGATACTCTCTATGCAGGAGCAGTGCCTCAATTCTTCAAGGAATGTGATATATATGGAAGAATTGACTTCATTTTTGGAAATGGGCTTGTAGTATTCCAAGACTGTAATATATATGCTCGAATACCAGGCACTCACATTATAGTCACCGCACAATCCAAAAACGCAGTAGAAGACCAAAGCGGCTTCATTTTCCAAAACTGCAATGTGACAGTGTCACCAGAGATAGCATCAAGTAAGGACAATGTTACTATGTTTCTTGGACGGCCATGGAGAGACTATTCGATGGTCATTTTCATGGAGTCGTTCCTTGACAGGGTAGTTCAACCAAAAGGATGGTTAGAGTGGCCGGGAAGACCAGTAAATCTACTATTTTATGCTGAATATAATAATCGCGGTCCGGGAGCTGACACTTCTCAACGGGTAGATTGGCCTGGTTATCATGTATTGCACAATGCCATGGAAGTTACAAAGTTTACTGTTGAAAACTTTATTAATGGGACTAAATGGTTGCCAGAAACTGGCATACCTTTTAGGGCTGGTTTGTAAGTACCGTTGAGACGTAGCACTCGATTCTATCCAATGATATTGTAAAGTTTGGTCATGAAATGAATAATATGGATATTTACATGATTAGTTCAATGAACAGCAAGTTTCTCTTCTCAATAGAGGCGTTCCTTATAACAAGAAACTCACTTCTTATGTTTAACATAAATATATGATATAGTTTTATTACGATTCAACCTGTGCTTAGTTTATTGACACTGGTGAGGTAATACATACAACCAATGGAAAATGAGAGCGCTGACAAAAAGCCAAACATGAAAAAAACTCGAAATCAAATGTGAATAGCCTAGCAAACATGTATATTGTTAAATGAGATTTGTACTAATTCGCAGGAAAATAATTAAAAGGGAACTTATAGAATTATAACTAAATTGTTTATTGCAATTTGCAATGTCATTTTAATATTAATTAATAATAGTAAAAAAATCAGGGACCATTTAGAACTACTCCTCAAATTTCAGGTACCAAAAATGTTCATTTTAAAACTTTAGAGACCAAGTTGATACCTACTTTAAAGCTCAATGATCAAAAGTGTTCATTTTGAAACTTTAGGGACCAATTAGACACCTATCTCAAACTTGAAGAACCAAAAGTGTTCATTTTAAAACTTCAGGGACCAAGTAGACATCTACCTCAAACTTCAGGACCAAAAATGTATTTTGGCCTTTTTTAATTATGTCTTTTTAACTAATTTCCATCACAAAATTTTAATTATATGAAAAAAAATTACTAAATATTTAAATTTTCATTACTTTTATTCTTCTATTTGACTATACATTATTTATACATTATTTTCCTTGTATATTTAAATGTACAGTCAATTATATATTCCATTTTGAATGAGCTTAAATGTACAAAGTTGTATTTTTAATCTGACGAGAATGGTAGGTTTAGTTTTTAATATTACTTGATCTGCGTTTTTAGTTGTCGTATATGAATATTTTCATTTGAATATCAAATGAATTGTATTTAGGGGTATTCTAAAAATTCGATGACGAAAGAAATTGAGCAGCTTGACACGAAACATTAGAGTTGGTTTGGATTGTGTTAGGAACGTCAAGAACGGATCGATTCCATCTGAATTGTGGGGCTTTTAGACATAATAATTGGTTCAATCGAACCGCACCAGTTTTATTCTATTACTTTTTTTTTCTTTTACTTAGGGTTGGTTTCTTGTCGCAGTCGTCCACCTTACTTTCTCTACGCGATTTCACCTCTTGCAAACACTGACTCTCTTCCCTTCCAAATACATGTATCAATCTCCTCTCTTCTTTAATGGTAAATTGTCTATCTTACTAGTGTTTTATTTATTTTTTCATTCATTCTTTATTTTTTGTTATTTAAATTTTGTTTAAACTTTTTCATGTACTTTTCTCCTCACATTTTTCTTCCTTTAAACTAATTTTTTTTTCATTTAAATTTTTATTAACTTTTAATTAGATATACTACACCGAATAACATTTTTTTATAGCTTTTTGTTATACCATTGAATTGCTATTAAAAAAAACCTCAAAATTATAACACTTTCACCATTTCCCCATTTTTCACATTTAGGTCTCAAAATCATTCGTTATCCCTCTCTAATCTCCCAAAATCGACTTATGTTAATTGATCTTCGTTGTATTGGTAGATCCAAAATCGATATTCATCTTCCTCCACATTGTGAACCCCCAGTCCTAATCGCGATATTCATTCTGATCTTACGGTGATGGGTGGCTTTTGTTGCTGCTTAAATCTATCTTGTTGGAGTCTGATTAGACGCTGCCGCAACTTTCCCTTTCATCTCCCAGTCGTTCGTTTCCCCTTCATTTTCTCTCTCTCTTTTCTCTTTTTTTGGTTTTTTGGAAACAGAGTGAGAGAGGAGGAAAGGTATAGTTTTGTGAACCATAAACGAAAGCTAATTTCTATCTTCCCGTCCTTTTTTTCACTTGTTGTCTCTGTTGAGTTCATTCTTTTGCATTCGTTTAGGATCCCAGGTTGAAAAGAAAATAGATCTTACATGATTTATAATAAACATGAGCTACCCCTCTCATTGCCAATTAGTTTGAGAACCTCATAAATATAAGCTCAAAAAGTGGCATTTTATCATAATTTTATCTTCAACCATTTTTAAACCTTCAAAAAACAAGTTCGTTATCGACATTTGTAAATCATTCGAAAAAAATCAAATAGAATAATAACATTTGAAATTAATATTAATTTAATATTATTTGCTTGAAAAAATTAAATTACTTTTCCTAGTTAAAATTTATAATTTCAAAACTATATTCAACACAAGCCAAATATTATTTACTGTAACTTCAATATCTTACTTCCGTATGCTTCAATATCTTACTCAGAGTTCTAGAAATTTTTCTCTGATTAATCACATATAATGATGACGACTAGAAATACATATATTAGAACACAAATCAAGATTAAAGAAAAGTTAATTCAAAGAAATAAAAATCTGGCGAATTATAGATTCCAGTAAAAATATTGGCAAATCTTCTCGAGTATGATGGTGCCAATCTCACTTTGTACTGCGATTCAACTAAATTTCCTAACCAAGAAAACCGAAAAAGTAAAACAAAGCCCTAAACACAGAACATCAAAGAAAACTACAGAACATTAAAGAAAATGATTGGAATTTGGATTCTGAATCAATAATAAGGGATATATGGATTTATGGTCTAAATTAAACAAAGACGAAGGAGCCAATTGACTAGGCCTAATCTTCGTCAAGTAATGAAATTCACTATTCTCCAACTAAATACATAACATTAAAGAAAAGTACTACGTACAGAACATCGAAGAATTCCAATAATAACAGAACATTAAATAGGCAGGCAAGCTTGTCGAATCCAAGAACGAGTGAGTAGAAAGGCAGAGAGCTTAAAACCTCATTATTCATTGTTCACTGTTCTCGATGCGAGATGGAAAGAACGGAGATGGAAAGAATGGAAAAGAAATCAGAACATAGGAGGAGACCGATCAAAGAAAACTACAGTAATACAATTCACTGTTCTCGACGTAAATGGAAAGAACGGAGAAGAAACCAACCATCGGAAGCGATGAGACTTTGAGACAAACCATCCTCTCTGTTAAACCTCGCATCGGCTAGGGTAACATTGCTTTTTTTAGAAAGGTAAAGTTCTTTTTTTCCTTTTTAGGAAGTAAAGTAAATTTTATTGCTTTTAATAATAATATAATATTATCTATTTTTTCGACGGTATTAATAACCTTCAATAAAATGTTTATATCTTTTTCTGAAGTTTCAATAACCTTCAATTAAAAGTAAAATAATATTTATAAAAAGTTTTTAACCTTTTTCTAATATTTTGTAGTTACCTTTAATAAAAAAGAAGTCAATATTTTTTTTTTAAATAGAACCTTTTTCAAAGGTTTCGAATATTTGTTGATAAATGTATTGCTTTTCAAAGGTTTTCAATAACCTTCGATAAAATATTGAATAATTTTCGAAGGTCTTCAAAATACCTTTGATAAAAAATTATCTTTTCGAAGGTTTTTAATAATCTTTCATAAAAAATGTATAATTTTCGAAGCTTTTATAAACATCTTCCATAAAATATCATATATTTTTCAAAGGTTTAAAATATTTGTTGATAAATATATTGCTTTTCAAAGGTTTTCAATTACCTTTATAAAATAGTGAATAATATTCAAAGGTTTTTCAAAATACCTTCAATAAAAGTTAACCTTTTTCGAAGGTTTTTAATAACCTTTGAAAAAAATGCATAATTTTCAAGAGTTTTCTATAAAGCTCCAATAAAATATCATATATTTTTCAAGCGCGGCACATATTTGTTGATAAATATACTGTTTTTCAAAAGTTTTCAATAACCTTCAATAAAAGTTGGTCGAAAAAGCCCCATTTTCTTGCGGTGAATAACATTTTCTGCTAATGGGTTTATTTTTTTCCTCTCAACGGCATTAAGATAATTGGGTATATTCACTTGTGTTTTATCTCATGATGTCATTTAAATGCATTAAAATGTTCTAGGCAAAATTGATAACCTTTACGAAACTTGTATTGTTGAGGTATCCTTGTAGTTAGAGCTATAGTAATTTTGTCCGGAGACTTGCGTTTTATGCTAGCCTACCGATAGTATCATATATAAAATTGTCTCTAACATATAGAATGTAAAATGCATGTCAGATTGTACATGATTTCAACAACCGTGGTAAAGGACACTGGATACCATCATATTGTACCAAATAGTAGGGTATCATGATCTTCATGCAAATTGGTTGGTGTTATTTTCTGGTACAAAGGTTGGCTTTTATATTGTTCATTTTTTAAATTTTCTTTTTCCTTTGCTGCACCTCATGTCTTGTCTTGTTGATCAAAGATTCTAGGTAAAGGAAAACCTAAAGCAGAGGACGTCTATGATCTATTTGCATATTTTCTTATTAATACATAGAACTAGATTTGGTCTGTAGTCCTCTTTGTGCAGGTATTGATGTGAAGGATCTATTAAATGAAAGAACAAATGTTGAACTACGTTATCTCATGAAGGTAAGATAATAATTGATGGACCTACTTCACTTGCTGCTTAAAAATCAATGCAAATTTTTTCTTTGCTAGACAGACAACGTTTAATGGTTTAATTTGTATGGCTGAAATGGGAAGTTGGGGTTTGTTCTGCAACTTTATCTATATAAGTTTATCATCTATCATTTATATGCATGGATGAATATTAACCGTGGTTGGGGCAATTCAGAATTCTGAAATGTGGAGACTTGCTTGTCAGACAATTGTTGGGAATAAAGATAACTCATATTGCAAGGTACTATCAAGAATCCATCACCTTAGAACCTATTTTGCATTTTTGTTCAACCTATAAAATTCACTCAACCACCCTTCTACCATTGCATTGAAAATATAAGATCACCTTAAAAAGAAAAAAAAATACATGATAGCTCTAGATCTCCTTGACATAATTAGACTCCCTCCTTCATGAAAGAAAAGATATCTTAGGTGCTTATTGTGATTTTTAGCTCTCTGTTGATGCACTAAATAGAG